CATGCTGATGGGGTGATGAAGAAAGAAGGGAGGACGAATGATAGGAGGGGGAGAGGGGGAGAACTCTTAGATGCGCCACGGCCTGGATGCGCTGCCGCAGCACGCGGTTCTCCTGTTCGAGCATCGTCATTCTGGTGGGAGAGTGAGACGGGAGATGAAAGAGGGATGGGAAGAGACGGGTGAAAAGGGGAGGGGGTTAACACATGCCATAGCCTGGTTGCGCTGCCGCAACACGCGCTTCTCCTGCTCCAGCATCGTCATGCTGGTGGGACGAGGGAGAAGGGAGATGAGAAAAGGCAGGGGAGAGGGGTGAATGGAAAGGGGAGGCGATTAACACACGCCAAGGCGTGGATGCGCTGCTGCAACACGCGCTTCTCCTGCTCCAGCATCGTCATGCTGGTGGGACGAGGGAGAGAGGGTGGAGATTGGTTGGAGGGGAGAGAGGGGACAGCGGAAGTGGAAGTGAGTGGAGAGGGAGGGGGTTACCACACGCCATGGCTTGAATGCGCGGCCGCAACATGTGGTTCTCTTGCTCGAGCATTGTCGTACAGGCGGACGAGGGGAGAGATTGGTTGGAGGGGAGAGAGGGGACAGCGAAAGTGGAAGTGAGATGAGTGGGGAGGGGTTACCACACGCCACGGCTTGAACCGCAATATGCGGTTCTCTTGCTCGAGTGTTGTCATGCTCATTCGTGGGGGGGAGAAGAGAAGGAAGGCGAGGGGGAGGAGAGTGGCCAGGGAAAAGAAGGTGACACTCAAGAACTGATAAATTTTAGTACAAACATAACGGATCAGTGAGTTGAAGCCCATCCGTGTCTGGGTGTCGAGAAGAACGGATGGGCTTCAACTCACTCACCCTCACACCCTTTCTCCCTCTCACACACACACACTCACCCAGCCAGTCGTTCCTTGAGCGCGCCGAGCTTCCCGTCCAGCTCTTTCAGCATGCGGTGCTTCACCGCCGCCACGTCCTCCGCAACACCGCGCACACACGTGTTCCTCCCCCCACACCCGCTCCCCCTCTCCCCATCCAACTCACCCGGCCAGTCGTTCCTTGAGCGCGCCGAGCTTCCCGTCCAGTTCCTTGAGCATGCGGTGCTTCACCGCCGCCACATCTCACAGACACACGCGCCCCGCAACCCCTCCCCACCTCTCAACCTCTCCCCATCCCTCTCCCTCTTTCACTCTCTCTCACTCACTCACTCACCCAGCAAGCCGTTCTTTAAGCGCGCCGAGCTTCCCGTCCAGTTCCTTCAGCATGCGGTGCTTCACCGCCGCAACGTCCTCCGCGTCGTCCGCCATCGACGTCGCCTCCCACGCGCGCAGACTCTTCTCGTCCGCCCACGCCTTGGCCTCCGCGTACCAGCTCTGCAGCAGCTTGTTCTGCTGCTTCAGCTTCGCGATCGCGTCGCTCTCCGTGCGCGTCTCCGCCAGCAGCTTGCTGAACACCTGCAGGTCGATCGACCCCTCCGCGTTCCCCGCCGGCTTCGGCGGCGCCGATTGCGGCGGCGGGGTGGGCTTGACCGTTGGAACGAGCATCAGCGCGTTGTTCGGCCCGGGCTGGATCGAAACTTCCGAAGCCGCCACGGACTGCGCGTCGCTGTTATCCGCCGCGCCTCCCGCCGCGTTGCCCGCCGCGATCGTCGCCGCCACGTCCGGCACCATTGCGCCTTCCGCCGCCAGCCCCGGGAGGTTCCCGAGCCTGCGGCTCAGGCTCGGGTGCTGCCGACGCGGATCCGAGGATTGGGAGCGCCAAGCGATCTGGCTGGACGCGATCGAAACCGCGTCGCCCATATCCGACTCCGCGTAAGCCGATCTGCGCGGCGCGGCCCCGCCATACCCGGCGGAGCTTCCGCCGTACCCGCCGCTTGCGCCAGGGACTGCGCCTGCGCCTTCCCCGGGGCCCTTGTAGAAACGGTAGGGGGAGCTTTGCGTGCGCCAGGGGGAACCAATTCCGCCAGGGGGAGGGGTCGCCTGCGACGCCGCGTGCGACGCGTGCGACGGGATGTCGTCGGACGACACGAGGCTGCCACGTGTCTGCGACGCCCATCCAATGCCCGACAGCGAGTCTTCCTTATCCTCCTCCTTATCGTACCCAACGCTGCGAGCGCCGGCGGAGGCGCTGGGCGCGGCGGCGGGAGGAGCAATCATGGCGGAAGACGGAGGCGGTACGTAAGCAGGCCGCGCGGGTGCGGCGGGGGCGGGGCTCGGGCGGGACTGGAGCGACGCGGCTTGCTGCAGCGCAACGGGGGGGCTTCCGCCACCGGCGCTTGGCGCGGTGGGCGCAGGCGCAAACGACACCGTCCGGCGGATCTCCCCCGGCTGACTCGCGGAAAGCGCCACTCCGCGTGAGCCGGCGGTGGCGGGGCGCAAGGGGGTGGCGGAAGGATGCACGGGGGAAGTGGTAGCTGGCGCTCCGCCAGCCCCCCCCGCTGCGGGATGTGCGGGTGACGTCATCAGGCTGGCGCGCGGCGGCATCTCCGACATGCTTCGCGCCATCCCCATTCCCCCAGCGCCAGCCACTCCCGCCCCCGCCACCGCCGCCGCTGGCGCTCTACCCTGACTGCCCGCGGGTTGCTTCGGGCGCACAGCGTCTATCTGCGCAACCTTTGCGCGCGCGTCCTTCAGTGCCGCTTGCAGACGCGCGACCTCCGCCGCCTTGATCTCCTGCTCCGCTGGCGCATCAGCGCGCCTTCCGCGCGCCTCTTTCAGCGCCGCGAACAGCCGTCCAACTTCCGCCTGAACAGTGCTCAAGTCTTCCGCGGAAACCATGCTGGCCGCGGCGGGCGGGGCCATGGACTGCGCGCGCGCCATTCCCAGCGGCTCCCGCGCGGCTGTTGTTGCGGGCGCGGGAGGCGCGGGCTTGGCGGACCGCTCCATCAGGACGGGATTCTGCGGCGGAAGACCCGTGGAGCCAACGACGGGAGGGCGCATGCCGCCAATGAACTGCGGAGGGGAGGCGGAAATGAAGGGGCGCGGTCATGATTGAGTGTTCCGGGTGGGAAGGAAGGAAAACGGGCGGGAAGGGTGGGAAGGTTGAGGGGGGGGGAAGGGGAGGGGAGTGGGGGAAGAAACTGGGGTTGATAGGAGTGGGGGATTAACGATTGCTGCTTCACACCAACCAATGAGAACACACCGAGATCTCGTCGTCGTTCTTGTCGTCATCGTCCTCCTCCCCCTCCCGCGCACCTCCCGCCGGGTATTCCGGGATGCTGGCCGGCAGGCTCTCGAGCACGCTACCGACGACGCTGCTGCCGTCCTCCGACTCGTAATCCTCCACGTCGATGCGCCACTTGAGCGCCTCGCCGCCCGCGTCTTTCGCGCCGGCTATCGCGTCTGTCACGACGGCTGCTGCGCCATTCGCGGCCGTGTTCTTCGCGGAGCCGTCTGACGTGGCGTTGCCGCCGCTTTCGGCGGCGGCGGCTTCTAAGCCACCCGACATGGCGCCTAGAGAGTAAGGGATGTTGCTTTAAGAAATAAAAAGGGAACCTACAAAAGGTAGTTGGGCCGGAAGGAGATTTTTGCGAACTTGACAAGCTACGTCGCTAATAATCCAAGGTAAACGAGTCCTGTGCTATTACTTAGATCTTAACTTCAATTCACTATCCACCAACAACGGACGCTCTCAACCAACCACACGATCCAGTTTTGCTTGTTCAGTGGATCCACGAAACGAAACCTGTTCCTCGCCGACCCTCAGTAGCTGCTACACGAAGCCCGTCTAGGAAGTAAACATTCTAGATAACACTTGAGCGTGCTTGGATAAGCCGGAACCCGCAGTCTATCTCGTTTTCCAGGGCTGGCTACGAAGCGCTGGTAAGGGTTCCGCTAGCGAGATGCGATGCTCACAGCCGTTCAAGGCAGTCTAGAGACGTCTGGAGAAATTTTCCCTAGCCTTACCTGACGTCACCAACCTCCTTCCATGCCTCACAGTCTCCCGTCACCGTCACGCTCCTGGTCAAGCTAACCCTAATCGCACGATGACTCGCGTCTAACACGCTTCACGTATCTCGTTGCGGAATGACGGGCGCCGGAGCCAAGGCAGCGGCAACAGCTCGTGCTCAAGGGGAAGTGGTGGAGCCATGAAAGCGAGCCGCTTTTGCTGTCAAATGTCGCCCAAAGTTTGGGTGACTGACGGGGCGAAGGTAAGGAGGAATGAGCGGAAAATCGAGTCGCGAAGACTCACATGAGTTTGCAATGTTACCTGTTGTCCATCCACACCCGTGTCACTCTGCTTGCGAACGAAGTGTTCTTTTCGTTTAACGAAATTCTGCTCGCACATGATCCACAGTTCTTCCGTGTGTGTGCTGGGTACCCCGGGACGTGCCCGACGCGGAGCCATGTGGGGAAATGTGCGGTCGCCCGTCACAGTACATCTGGTGCAGTGACAGCCAATAGGAACAAAAGGCTTTGGCGATGCAGGCGGGAGGACAGGGCCGTGTGGGCCGCCGCGCCTGGCGAGTCTTCCCGCCACTCAACTTCGTGCCACGCCAGCGCGACTCGTTGGAAAAGCAAAATGAGAGACGCGTAACACTTGATTTTCTGAAATAAACAACAGCACCTTATCTGTACACATTCTAGCACTTTCATATAGAGGTTCTTTTGTGCAGGAGAACAAGCACATAAATGATTTCACTAGTAGTAACAAAATAAACATTTCATAGTAAATATGCATCACATAATGTTGAAAACTGTGCCAGCTTGAGGAAGCTCAGAATTGTTTTTGTCCCCTACCACGCATTCCAGGATTTCAACACTACATGTTCTTATGTGGAAAGCACACATCCCTCGATTAGTTTCTTTTCACACTCAGGACACAGGTCGGTTGTCTTTCACCTTAGTGGCGTATTCCACAAAACGGTCCATATCTGCCTGAATAATGCTCTCCACTAAAGGGTTTAGGCTCTGCAAAAGGGATGGATGGGAGAATGGACCATCAGCCCCAAATGATGAGTTGATAAAGCGTTTATACACTTAAAGCTCACATTGGTTCAGATTACAATGCATATGCGAAGATCGTACCGCAAGAACAGGGACGAGGATGTCTGGGCACTGGTAGGTGAGAGTCATCTGTAAGATTGGGACAGGAAAGCAGATCCAAGTTGTGAATTGCAGTGACGCCCAGCAGCGACACCCAGCAGCGACACCCAGCAGCGACACCCAGCAGCGACACCCAGCAGCGACACCCAGCAGCGACACCCAGCAGCGACACCCAACAGCGACACCCAGCAGCGACACCCAGCAGCGACACCCAGCAGCGACACCCAGCAGCGACACCCAGCAGCGACACCCAGCAGCGACACCCAGCAGCGACACCCAGCAGCGACACCCAGCAGCGACACCCAGCAGCGACACCCAGAAGCGACACCCAGCAGCGACACCCAGCAGCGACACCCAGCAGGGACACCCAGCAGCGACACCCAGCAGCGACACCCAGCAGCAACACCCAGCAGCGACACCCAGCAGCAACACCCAGCAGTGACACCCAGCAGCAACACCTAGCAATGTTACGGAACAAAGGCACCCAGCACAGCAATCTCCCTCATATCCCCACTCACCTCCACTTTACAGCCATTGGCCCCTCTGGGGAAGAACCGTACAGCTCCTCTGCAACAATGGTGGTGGTGGTGGTGGTGTGAGAAATAGAGGATGTGAGGAGATGAAGAGGGAACGAGGTGAGACGGTAGAGGATGCAAGGAGATAAGTGAACGTTTAGTCATGTTTGGGGAGTCTGGGAGAATGTGGAGAATGCTGGAAGGAAAATGCAGGAGGGCAGCGGTAGTGGTAAAGAGGGCTTGGAACAGGATGGCAGCATGGTTGGGAATGATGTCAATGTGCGGAGGTGGACCACGGTCCCTTCTTGCCTACCGTGTATTTCTTTTCCCATGGACAGGATAGAATGAATTTAGATGCAATAGAACAGGCTAAGTAACTTTGTGGGGTGCAGATCAAACAAGCAACTCTCAGGTGGCTCTGATGCATCCCTTTGGGTAGCATGGGTGGATTTTACAATACACGCATTGCAATGGAACAGGTGAGGGATCTTAGGAGATTTATCCCAAACAGGCAACCGGTGACTCTCTCATGCATCCCTCAGTGGATGGATGGGGTTCTGGCAGGTAAAGTATGGGATTCAAAAACGTGTTACCTGTTCGGGACCCCATCTACCGAGCGCCACTGAATCTTCTGATTTGCGATGGGCTGGGGGTATACACAGGGACAGGGGAATGGGAGAAGAAAGAGGGGACATCCTGATTCTTAATCGGCTGGGGGTATGCACGGGGACAGGGAGTCCAGGGAAGAGGCGGATTGAATGAAACAGCTGACCTTGTACTGAACCTGCTTACAGTGAGTTGCTTGGAGAGCCACGAGAACTCCAGATCGCGTCCAAACGCAGTGTATTTGAGGGTCCACTCGGAGAACTCCGGGGTCTCCTGGAGCACCTGATGACGTGGCAGAGGCAACATGTGAGCTGGCATGAGTGTATCTGATAAGGGGAAACATGGCATGAATAGCATGACAATTACTGTAACATGGAAGGAAATGGTGTGCAAAGAGGAATCGTGATAATAACGAAATCATGTCTTTGAGAGTTTGATGTGATAGCAGCAACTCGTCGGACAAAGGAGTAAGACACTCCTTCACCGCTTTCAACCCACCTTAACCGAGGTAATCCACGGCATCCAGTTGGGAACGAGCTCGCGATCTGACCAGAGGTCGTAGGCCAATGAGAGGGGAATGTTGGGCGCGTCAGCCACTGCTCTGACGCCACGTGGATAAATGAGCGCCCATTTGTGAGCACGTACGGCGACGAATGACGAGTGAAACGGGGGATGAGAACGCCATGGTCAGAAAACGATTAATACGTGTAGATGAAAGGACTACCGCCACAAGATTCGAGAGAATGCTGACAAGCTAATGCAGGCACGAAAGTCGCAGTGTGGCAACGTGACGCAGCGCGTCGCAGTGTCGCAACCGTGATAGCGTAAACGATTTTCCTGGTCGACTCAAAGGCGGCATCACTCACTTGCATTCGAGCCACGTGGCAGAAACTGACAGGCGCCTACGCCACTGGAGCTTGTCACGCGGGGAGACCTCGACAGCGGAGACCGCGGAATGAATTATTCGTTTTAATGGTGCACCTACAAACGCGGACGACATCCTGCAACAGACACTCGCCCTATTCGGGATACACTGCTTTCTAAACGCCGTAGAAGCAACGGTGAGCTTACTATTACGTGCAGCTGTCCTAAAACTCGTTGCATCTAACCGCGCAACGCACGTTGAAATGTGAGCCGCCGCCATTACCGGCAATGGCGGAAATAACAATGCTGAAAATTCTAGACTGATGTTTGTTATTGTGCTGCTGAGCTGAATGCTCACAAGTAAGCGTCATTTGGAAAAACAAAATCGGTTTTTGCGGTATTGACAGCTCCAGTACTGTGATCCATTGAGCACAAGAAAGTGCAGTTCCAAATTCCAGTCTTTACTGTACGATTTACAGATTCTCAGCCCAGCAAAGAGCAGGCTGGGAGCATCAGTCAGGACTCCGTGAGGGAGTGAAACACTGGAGAGTTTTTAAGGTAATACGGAATAATGCTCTGATAAATAGGCACACTAAAAACACTGCTAAGCCTACCTGGATCTCATTCTATACGAGCGAGCGTACACCCACTAAATAAAACGGTATAGGTGCGAGCTTGATACCAGAAAGCTTTTGATTTTTTGTTTACGACGAGACGGGAAGGAGAATAGGGCCACCAGGATTATGCGAGAAGATGGATTCATGGCTGTCTATAAGCACCATGATTGCTTCCACTATTGCTGTTTGTGCTTGTGTTGGCTCCTCTTCTAAAGGGATCTCTGCACAGTAGCCAATACACAAACAGTGTACGGCAAGAGGCAAGACACACAACACAAATCGCGTTAACCTGCACAAGTTGAAGTACCACCCTTATGCATACATACGCAAACGAGGCACAACCTCGGGCACGAATCGAGAAAAGCGGAATGTCACAGGGTTACTCAGTACAGATGTTTATGGGCCTAGGTTACCTCATGATACATGGTCTCACATACACTCACATACACACATTCACTCACACACACTCACATACACTCACATACACACACATACACTCACATACACACACAATATGAACCAGTGCTTAGTCACTGCATAGACAGTGGATAGGCAGTGGATAAGCAGTGGATATGCTAAACCAGGAAAATGTATGTGTCAACTCACCAGGAACAGAAGATTCTCCGTTTGCCTCCACCACTGCCGGCCCATCAGCAGCAGCAGCACTCACTCCTAAGCAGCAAATAAGCTAGAGCAGGGGGAATATATGTGCCAGCTCACCAGGAACAGACGATTCTCCGTTTGCCTCCACGACTGCTGGCCCAGCAGAAACAGTGGCAGCAGCAGCACTCCCTCCATCCCCCACTCGCATTCCCTTCTCACTCTGTGCCCTCCTCATAGCAGGACTCGCCATAGCATCCCCACCACCACCACCAGTGGCACCAGCACCACCAGCACCAGCAGCAGAAGCAGCACTACCCTTGGGAGTCAAAGCAGGAGGGGAGGAGGGGGCCATGAGACTAGGCACATCCTCACTCACTCTCCCACTACCACCACCACCACCACCACCACCACCACCACCACCTCCTGTGCTCTTGCTGATACTGCTACCATCCATCCCTCTGCTACCGTCCCCTCCATCCCCTGCTGCTGCTGCTGCACCTGCTCCTGCGCCTTCCCTGGTTTCGTCTAGACTTAAGGAGGAGAGAGAGGGGGAGCGGGCGGTTGAGGAAGGGGGCTTGGAGGAAGGCGAGGAGTCGAAGGGGCCAGAGGCGGAGGAGGCGTGGGGGGAGGGGGAGGGGGACGGGGAGGGGGACGGGGGGACCTCTGGTCGCGGCCAGAGCAGGACGGGGGCGAATTCGGCTGCTAGGCTTTGAGCGTCCATCTGGGGGAACGGGAGGGCGCACGGAGGGAGGGAGTGGGAAAATGTTTTTTGGAGTGCTTTAAGGGGCGTTTTATTAGCTGCAACATGGAGACTAGCACCCCAACCTACAGCCAGCCTTCAAAGCCTTCTCAACCCACCCCTCACCTTGTTCACATCAGCGTGCAGGCTGACTCCGTACTGCAGGCACAGCACAGCATGCAGCGTCTCGAGATTCACAGGCGGTAGCATGTGCAGTAGTTGCCTGAGCTTAACCCGAGGCCAGCACACACCCAAACCCCTCTCAGAATCCCCCACACCCCTCCTCACCTTGTTCACATCAGCGTGCAAGCTGACTCGGTACAGCAGGCACAGCACAGCATGTAGCATCTCGAGGTTCACAGACAGCAGCGTGTGCAGCAGGCACCTGAGCTGCGTGTCGCTGCTAGTACACACCCAACACCCACTTAACCCTCAGAACCCCCCCACACCCCCTCCTCACCTTGTTCACATCAGCGTGCAAGCTGACTCGGTACAGCAGGCACAGCACAGTATGTAGCGTCTCGAGGTTCACAGACGGCAGCGTGTGCAGCAGGCGCCTGAGCTGCGTGTCACTGCTAGTACACACCCAACCCCCACTTAACCCTCAGAACCCCCCCACACCCCTCCTCACCTTGTTCACATCAGCGTGCAAGCTGACTCGGTACAGCAGGCACAGCACAGCATGCAGCGTCTCAAGATTAACAGCAGGTAGCGTGTGCAGCAGGCGCCTGAGCTGCGTGACATCGCTGCTGCCGACAGTGGCGACCCCGGAGAAAAGGGAGAAGGTCATGAGAGGCTCGGGGAGGCACTTGAGATAGACAAGCAGCAGCTGCCCCACGTCTAGTGGGCTGGTATCCGAAGGGATGTCCGCGTTGGGGTCTGTTAGGTGGGGGGACGGGAGAGCGGGGAAGGGGGGACGGGGGATGGTGTGGAAGTTTGGCTGAAGATTGCTGGAAGGATGCACGATGGGGGTCAACTTATGAGTAATTCTAAGAAAGGGTGTGCTGTAGGGGTTGGCTCGAAAATTGCCTGTAGAATACTTGTCTAGGGGATCGTGAGGGACTCTGGGGATACATGAGAGCCACGACTAACACGCAGGAGAAATTCCCGTTTTGGGAAGGGAAAAAAAAAAAAAAAAAAAAAAGCAGAATGGAAATTTCGAGTCAGAACTATCGCGCTGGCACCATATGGACTAAAGCTTGCATATTTTTGTCATTGCTCACCAGCGATATGTCCGAGTCGACTCAGACTTTGCTTAACCCTGTGATTGCTCACTCATTGGTCACCTTTTGCTCACTCATTGCTCACTCATTGGTCACCTTATGCTCACTCATTGGTCACTCATTGCTCGCTCATTGGTCATCATTCACTCTCTCATTGGTCACTCATTGTTCACTCTTTGCTCACTATTGCTCACTCGTTGTTCACACATTGTCCACTCTTTGCACACTATTGTTCACTCATTGCTCACTCATTGCTCACTCATTGGTCACTCATTGCTCGCTCATTGGTCATCTTTTGCTCATTGCTCATTCATAGTTCACTCATTTCTCACTCCTTGCTCACCAGTATCGAACATGTGCATGAGTCCTTTGACCACACGTGAATCGTTCTCAGACTCGAACAAGTACTCCGTAACCAAGCCTGGTGGTAACCACATGTGGAACATGAACACAGGACGAAATAGCACAGCAAAGTGAAAATGTTAGGGCTTTTTTTGCCAAATTATGTCTCGGCTTCAAATTATGAAGGATAGAGAGAGCCAAACCACCAGGCGCACTTGAGCTTTGAGACGTCTCGAAACTCAGGGAAGATGGAAACACCTACAGACATGCAACGGTAACAGTCGTAACAGCTTGTGACATTGAACGTGCATGCAGCACAGCACGGTGCAACCGACCGTTTTGCAGGATGAAGTTGCAGCACTGGATGACCACGAAGGGCACGGCTGTGCCTTTGAGTTGACTCAAAAGCAGACTCACTACATGCGGCTTTTTAGTCGACTCACACGGGCATACAACACAACCCACCATTCTGCAGGATGAAGTTGCAGCACTGGATGACCACGAAGGGCACGGCTGTGCCCCTCTGCCTGCTCGCGAATGCATCTAAGGGTGTACCAAACACTGCCGGAGGGTGCAGGGAGCAAAGGGATAGCAGAGTCACAAGGCAGCGTGAGCTGTTGAAAAAATCTTGAAAATCGCCTCAAAAGGCGCTTCAGAAAGACCTTCAGGGGAATGCTATACACTGTTAATGGGTAATGGAGTCTGTAGAGTAAAGCACCAAAGCAAAGCAACACGAAAACTCATTGCGAGAAGTTAGTCGAAAAGGAGTAGCAATTTGTGAGAGAGGTATAGAGAACAGCTGAAGGAAAAGAATAAGGGGAGAAGCGAGGCAAGATCGAAGGCAAATAGAGTCCTTGCAAAAACGAGAAGAGCTGACACGCAGGCTATTTCATGAGCCAAGTCGGCGTAAGGGAAATGTAGAAAACGAATTGGAGAAAAAGAAATGGAGTGACAGCAGAGCGTGAGTGTAAGTAGGGAGAAGAAAGACAAGCACTTCAGAGAATAAGCAAGCGTCACCTAGTGTGGCGTCACCTGGAGCTCCGGGGCGTCCCTGGCACAGACGGGAGTGCGTGTGTGTGACAAGTGCGAATGGCGGGGAGGGAGGAAGTGGGAGAAGCGAGGGTGAGGTCAGAACAGACAGCCAGTGGCGAAGGAAAGAGGCGATTTGGGAGAAGGAGTTATGAGGGAATCAAGAAAGAGAATCCGAGGAAGACAACGGCAGGGGCGTGAGCATGCATGTGCGTGTGTGTTAGCGTTCGCGACAGAGGAAGACGAGCGGGGGAGCGAGGGAGAGGGGATTCGAGGTTTGGAGGGGGGGTGGGGGGTGGGAAGGGATGGAGACAGAGTGAGTGCTTACCCTCCGCCAGTCCACCTTCTGGAGAAGCCCCTTGCTTCTCTCCATGCCATTCGCCGTCAGCTGGGGGTCATGGGCACCAACAGGTTCACCAGCACGACACATAAAGACGCAACGCATGGGTGCATGCATGCATGCATGCAATGAGCTGAGTTTCTGGAGAAGAATGCTGGCAGTCAGAAAGAGCGCGAGAAGATCGAGAGTGAGCTTGGAAATGCAGGGCAGTAACCGTAAAGATAACGATAGTCGCGAATACTGAGATAGTCGCGAATACTGAGAGCAGCAGGCAGCTACGAGACTCCACAGTCCGGTTTTGGATCCAATTGCTAGGGGAATGGATCTGGTACAGTAAATTATTGTTAAGAAATGCTCCAAGCTGAGCGTACACTGACAATCTGACCTCTGCGATTCCAGGTAGAGTCTGTGCGAGGCTCATACCACTGCAACCCCCCCGTTTCCCACTTCTAAAACTCTTCCGTCAATCCTTGACTTTCGGACGATGACAACATTTCCACCCACACGATCACCCATCTCTTCTTGAAAATCTCGTAACCCAGACAATCCCACCTGTACGATTTTGCTCTTTATGAAAACCTCACCCAAATGAGCTCTTCATACCTCAGTGAGCTGTTGACCGACGCGACTAGCCTTTACTTTCTCCGTCGTCTCCATGAGCCCCTGCTTCAGCATCGACCCCGTGCCAGCCGCCACGCGAGCCGTGGTTACCACACAGCGACCTTCATACCTCAGTGAGCTGTTGACCGACGCGACTGGCCTTGACTTTCTCCGTCGTCTCCATCAGCCCCTGCTTCAGCATCGACCCCGTGCCAGCCGCCACGCGAGCCGTGGTTACCACACAGCGACCTTCATACCTCAGTGAGCTGTTGACCGACGCGACTGGCCTTGACTTTCTCCGTCGTCTCCATCAGCCCCTGCTTCAGCATCGACCCCGTGCCAGCCGCCACGCGAGCCGTGGTTACCACACAGCGACCTTCATACCTCAGTGAGCTGTTGACCCACGCGACTGGCCTTGACTTTCTCCGTCGTCTCCATCAGCCCCTGCTTCAGCATCGACCCCGTGTCAGCCGCTACGCGAGCCGTCGTTTCCAGCCCGGCCTCCATTCTTGGAAGCACTTTCGTGTTCCAGCTCTCCTTGGTCGACTCCCACGTGGTGTGCATTCGCGATTTCGCTCCTTCTGCTGCGACGGCTGCGCGAGTCGCCGCCTCTGCGACTTTCGGCTGCACGTTCTGCTGCCATGAGGTTTTCACCTTGGATCCTGCTTCGCCGGCAGCGCCTGCAACGGCTGATCCCGCTGCTTTCAGCTTGAAAGCTGTGACAGAGTTTCCGATGTCCCGTGGGAAAGAAATAAGGAAGATTGAAAAGAGAAATGTATCTGCAACGAGCTGATGTCGTCAATACCAAGATTCGCTGCTCAGAGCAAGGCCTTCGTCATGTGAGTTAAAAGACCGAGAAATAACTGAAAGGAATCGCAAATGCTTAAGACGAAGCTCATGAAAGAACAATCCCAGGCGTTTCGCTTGATCACATTTTAAGGATGCCGCTGACGAACTGTATGCGATCGTACCAATCGACATTATCCACAAATGCGGGAATCACGGAGTCTTACAGGAAGAGGAGATGAAAGCCCCTGCCTTTTCCCGCCAACCAGGAGCTTCTTGATCCGCCATCTGGCCTCGTGTTTAGAAACCAACCACGGTACAAGGAACCAAGCGACCGCTGTATTTCAGCGGACAAATCTCAAAATAGATATATCACAGACGCCATTCGGATTTGGAAGCTAATTTGTCAGTATACGAACAGAGCTAGAGTCTAACAGCTGCTAGCATCAAAAGGAGGCCAGCAGAAGATATTCCCGGTAAACGCGCTTACGCAGTGAATGCAGCCGTGACTTTATTATGCTGAAGTGATGGCAAAGTGGAGATGCTTACTCAACCTATGACCTTGCCAAGGATTTGGAATCTGCAGAGAATAGAGAAGGGGAACGGAGAATCTCACACATAACATCAGCAGCTCGTTATCATCGCTGAAACAAAACCCCTCCAACTGTTCTTCAACACGTAAAATCTCACCGAACCGTATCATCGTGAACTCTTCCGACACCCCAACCAGCAAATGGAGAAAAGTGGGTTGGTTGGTGAATGGGAAGCGGTGGCGATGGAATCGAGGAAAAGAATCTACGGCAGATGTGCTGGTTGGGAGACGCAGATGTGCGATAATAGAATTTGTTTGGACCCTGAAAGCATGGAGCTGATGCGTAATCTGAACGGTCCGTCCTCGAGATCTGCTGGGAAATGGAGGAAACAACGAGCCCAAGGATGACCCTGTAACGAGCGCTAGCACCCAACAGAAATCCGTCAATGAAAAACAAACAAAGTCCTACATAAACCTTATATGCCCCATCATTTCTAAGGTGTAATCCGTAACCTTTTTTCACGTGTGAATAATCTCGAATTCAATCGGGGACAGCTCTTGTTGAATTCGCAGCGGGGCGAGTCACAGAGCGTTCGCCTCGAGAGCGCTGCTCATTTCGTTGTGTTGGTGTGTTTCTGAGAACAGCTTGGTGGATGACGGTGTTTCTGCAAGTGGATAGTGGCTTCGTTGACGCTGATCGCTATTTTATTCATTACGGCGATCCGAATCCATCTCTGATCAGTAAATCGATTATTGCTCCATAAGAAGTCGAACCATCATGTTCGCAAGGCGCCCTTCGTGAGAATAAGCATTGAAATAACTGGATCACGTGTCTCTAGTTGTTTCAACCTGTTCTGGATTTCGCACTGAATGCTACAATAGTCCCGACAATGGAACGCCGAATTCGCAAAGACTCCGGAGGTGCCGCTCTCACACCAGCATCATCTGATCTCCATTCGCGTGGAGAAAACGGAAACAACGATGACAGTAGTAGAATGAAAAAGGCAGCAAGTTCTGGAACCACGAGCAGCCATGGATGGATCTGGATGTCCATGCTGGCGACGCTGTACGGCCTGCAGCCTGTGATCATGCGGAAATGCCTAAGGTAGCTGTCCTCCCGCTCTTGACACATGGCGAATCTTGACCGCTGTAGGTGTTTCCGCTGTTAGATCTGGATATCCATTCTGATAATGCCATGTGATCATGTGAAGAAGCATTATATGGTACTTGTCGAGCTGTTCCGGACGCCTCGCGCGAGATATTCGCGTCATATCAAGCTTCTCATGGAATGCACGCACGAGCTCTTGCCTTGTACTGACTACTACATCTGACTCCTCGTGCTTCTGATGTCTTACAAACCCACAAGACAGTGCTGACGTTATCATCGTCAGCCAAGTTATGGCTGTCGACGTCGCCAAGGTGGGATACGTAAAGTCCACTTCACTCTGGTGCTTTCTCCTGTGCTTTCTCCATGCCATGTTTTGGTGCTGCGGTTCAGTTCAGCTCAGCGTTACAATATACGGTTCAGTTCAGCGTCAGCATCACTAACCCACGTCCTTTGTCGCTTCCAATCTCCATACAGATCATCTGTTCGCTTGCTGTAGTGCTTCTTGACGGATCAGGCTGGCGGTTATGGCGCAGCTGGCGGATAAGGGAGTTCCTACAAGGCTCCATGGTGCCAGCGTTCGTGTACACGGTGCAGAACGTGCTTATCAACATCGCTTATCGCCACCTGCACCCGGTCACCTTCGCCATGCTGTCCCAGACGAAGCTTCTCTTCACCGCCCTTTTCAATTTCATATTCCTCAGGTGACATTCATGTAATGTCTGCTCAGCTCAGGCCAGTGATTGCACTCTTATCCAGATACCTTCCATATTACTACAGCAGATTTCTTGCAGCCTCGTCAATGGATGTTCCTTGCTTTCGCAGGTGTCTCCTCATTCGTCAGGTTGTACCTCGGGTGGATCGTGAAAGTACTTCAAGTAGGAGTAGATGTAAGTGTATCTTTCCGCACACTATCCTCTCAACCAATGACCGTTGTCCCACACACATGCTCACATCTCTTTCTGCAGGCAGAAGCAGTCCGTCCGGCAGGTGCTGGCCCTGCTCACCATGCTCGTAGCAGCTGTTCTCCTCTCCATTGCCGACCACGTGCAGCTCTCCCTCTCCCTGGGGGGAAGCGAGAAGGAGGGCTCGCGAGATGGAGACGGGAAAGTAGGGACGGAGGAAGCAGGGAGCGGCAAGGCTAGTGCAGGTGGAGGGAGTGGAGGGTTGACGGAGAGTCTAGCAGCATCGGTGTTGTTTGGTGCGATTCCCATGCTGGCAGCATCTGTCACGTCTGGGTTCGGGTCTATGTACTGCCAGTGGGTCTCCCAGGTACGTCTAACTCCTCCTCATAGCGTTTGACCTCCTCCTTTTTAATTCTCCGCTGAAGTATTTTCGACTTGCTCTTGTTTCCACAGGTGAAGGCCTGCAGAAGTTCTCACCATATGCCGTAGAGATTTGTCATCGCGTTCTTGAACCTTTTCCGCTTCTCCACCTCCTTTGATGATGTCTGTCCCCCATCTTCCGTCTGTATTCTTCTCCATCCTCTCATGTTAGGTGAAGGGCCGCAGCTCCTACCTCATGACCATCGAGATGTCCTCCTTCAGCTTCTGCCTGCTCCTCGCCTCGCTCCTGCTGCTGCCATCATCGCACGATGCTGCACGCATGAGGGAACTAGGATTCTTCCACGCCTGGACCCTCCTCTCCACGGTATGTACTGCTCAACTGCTTCCAAATACATTCTAATGCTGCCTGCTCCTCGCCTCTCTCCTGCTTCTGCCCTCATCACACGACGCTGCGCGCATGACGCAGCTGGGTTTCTTCCACGCCTGGACCCTCCTCTCAGCAGTACATTTCTTTCGTCTGCTTCGCAAGACCTAGCATTGCTCGGACGTCCCAAGCCTTCTGAGTCAAACTAGATGTCACTTGTGCATGAGGCATGAACTTCATCGAATATTTCCAGTGCTCTACCGTATGTTTCTTTTCCCAATCCTCCGTGTCATTCACATGAATCGCTTGTGATTCCAGCTCAACTTCTTACACCCTCCCTTTCCGCAGGTGCCCATATTGACCAACGCACTGGCAGGCATTCTCGTGGGGGTGGTGGTGCAGGTGTCTGGGGGACTCAAGAAGGTACGCGAGAGTGCATGCATGCTCATTCTGCATGCATGTGTCTGGGGGACTCAAGAAGGTATGTAAGACACGCTGTGTGGGCGGGTTCTGAGACATATCGGAACAGGTACCTTTGTGATGAACATAGCGTTGCTCATGACAGCTTTGGGACTTCTCGAACCTCCTCTCCCCCCTTACTTCCATTCTCAATGGCTGTACCGTGATTATCATACCACTGCTAATGGCTGCTAATGGTGCTAAAGGGCGTGATAGACATCTTTGTCCTCGTATCTATCTCTCCCTCGCCCCCCACCCAATTCGCCAGGGCTTCGTGATGATAATAGCGCTGCTGGTGACGGCAGCAGCTCAGCTTCTCTTGGAAGGCGAGCCTCCCCCTCTTCTCGTGTGGGTCGCATTCCCCATGGTAGTGGCGAGCACTCACGTGCATGCAGCATACCCATATGTGGAGAGGAAGGATTCAGATCGAAGGAAGGCAGAGTAGAGGATTCAATGTTTCCCTGGTACGAACAGCTCTTTCCTCCATGGTTCTGATGGTGCATCCCCCATGGTAGTGGCCAGCACTCACATGCATGTGGCATGCCCATACGTGGAGAGGAAGGGGATGGGTGGGGAGGAGGATTCAGACCAGGAGAAGACAAAGAAAGAGGTGACTCTCCTTCCCTGTTGGTATGGACAGGGCAGTGTTATTTTCCATGGTAGTGCAGCGGGTGACCTTTCCCGGGGTAGATAGACAGACACTGGAGGTGTCCCCCCTGGTATGGTACGGTACTATAAATAGACCCGGATATGCATAACTATTTATTACCTTGGTTGGACCATTGAATCTCTTGCGATGCGACTACCAGCTCTTGCCTAGTTTGTCATGCCTGTTGATTTTTTTCCGCATGCAGAAGGTTTGTGAACCTGTTCTTCCTCACCAGATTTCAGCAAAGCTAGACAGCCAGAGGCGAATTTGCCAATGTACATGTAGGTAGCAGCAATAAAGCGGCCGCACCGCATGCACTGTGTTGCGTTGTCCCAAGGCTGTCAGTCACACGGACTGTGACGGATGAAAATCGCCAGCGGCGCGATCCGACGACTAAGATTGGACGAATGCTAGATGAAACTATTACTGGGGCAAGCAAGCACAGTTGGATGTTGAGACACGAGGACTTGTTTTCTGAAGTTCTTGGGCTGAGTACTTCTCTGTTCAGGGCATGGGGAGGGAGAGATGGGGGGTGAGAGAAAGGGAGGTGAGGGGTGCGGTGGGGAGATGCAGGGAGAGCGGAGGGAAGATGAGGGGTGAGTGGGGGGAGGATGAGGAGAGCTAGGGAAAAATGAGGGACGAGTGAAGGGGGGAATGCAGCAGTGAGAGGGGGAGAAATAAGAGAAAGAAAGGAAATGAGGGGTGAACGCGGAAGAGGAAGAGGGGGGTGGGGGGGGGGGGAGATGAGAGGAGAGCGGAGTGGAAATGTGGTAACAAGATGCGACAAAAGCGGGGAGGGAAAGGGGGGGGGAGTTACCGAGGAAAGAGCGCGGGGCATTGAGCGAAGGGGAGATGAGGTGTGAGCGGTAAGGATACGCAATGAGAGCGGGGAAAAGAGAGGGGAGGGGGAAAGGGGGGGGGGGGGGGAAGAGGGGGGGGGGGAAGAGGAGATGGGGCGGAGGGAGGGTAAGATGGGGAAAATTGAGTGAAGAACAGAGGAGACATGAACGGTGAGTGGTAAGGAGATGAGATGGGGAATAGAGCTGGGGGGAGTGGGGGGGGGGGGGGGGGAGAGGGAGGGGGGAGATGGGGAGAAGTGAACTAAGAACAGAGGGGATGAGCGGTACGGAGATGGGGACGGAGCGGACGAGCGGGGGGAACGAGGGGAGAGCGGAAGAAGATGAAAAATGCCCTCCCCACCCAACCACACCACCAAAATCCGCCACCCCCCCTCTTCTCTCCCCCGTTTCCCCCCCTTTACCCTCGCCCCAAACATCCCTTACTGTTCTCCTTACCGTTTTTTACGTCTTGCGGCGTATCCGTCCGGTTCAGTCCGGTTCAAAGTGCCTTGTCTTGATCACCCAAGGACATCGAATAGGCGCCGAAGATACTGACGCGTTCGCATGGTAACTGCTAACGGACTACTGATTTTGTGTCCGTCCGCCATTTAATCCGTCCGCCAGTTTATCCGTCCGCCATTAAAACCGTCCGCCGTTGAATATGTCCGCAAACAAGAGTTCCTACTCAGGCCGCAATCCATAATCTGAACAGAGATCATACTCTGGCTACAATACGAACATCTGACGCACGACAGTGGCGATACCCACTTGAAGCTACGCGGAGCGGCGAATATTCATTTACGGCTAATAAACGCGACTGACACTATCTACGGCGCCAAGCCCTAGTTTTACGCTTAGATCTGAGAAGCCACGCGGGATGAAAACCAGAGAAGCGATGGTAAGACTTAGATCTAACAGCGATTGGAAACCTAGAAACTAGAAACGACGGTAAAGAGAGGTGCATCACGGAAAGGTACTCAAGGACGTGATGTGAGGAGGTCGATATGGTAAAGCACGGTGATGGTTGGGTGACGGACAGTGACAGGTGGACCAAACCAACCTCATTTCCTATTGGCTCACAGATTTTTATCCCAACCACACCTCGTTATTTCAGATGCCCGAACCAAGCAGCGAAGTGAGTTGTGAGCAGCTAATCTTACTGACAGCTCAGCAGAAAAATGTTTATCGACCAGCTCCTTCCTATACCCTCCCCGCACCTCACGCGAAACTAACCAAGAACTGCCACGTCAGAATTCTCTTAGCAGCCTTCCCCACAGCAAAACCTAAGTAGAGTACACACGATGACTCGTTATCAGAAGCACAAAGCGAACCAAACAAACCCTCTAGCTTATATTGAGAGTGTTCTGATTGTTTAGGTTAGAGTTTGGATGCGTTGTGCACTGTACACATTTCAGTCGCCACAGCTTACCGCGGATACAACTCTCCAAAACCATCCATTCGATTCAAACTCTGGCACTTCTCCCCGCCAGCACTCTGGCACTTCTCCCCGCCTGCACTCTGGCATAGACGGAGCAGCCGTGTCGCACCTCGCTGCAGCCAGCAACTCATCGCGTTTGAAACCGAGGCATGCTCTGCCGCGCGTGGCGGCCATGGTGGTTCTGAATCGATTTTTGTTTTTTTACACAAGAGTCGTGAACAGCATAAAATACGTTCTAATCTGATTACACATGGATACAGTGTTGTGTCAGTGAGGCGGCTGAAATTGGTTTTGCTCTGCAGCACACGCTCAAACTCCATTGACAATCTGAATAGTACCATATTCACATGTACAGTTCACTGCTTTGTTTTGTTTTGTTGAGTTATGGTTCTCTTTATTGTGCTGCAATCGAGACGTCTCAAGGCGCGTATCACCAACGCACAGGTTTGGTGTGCAAATCAAGTTCATGGCTGGGACAGCTAGGAACTTTCTAGTAGGAGGCTGACGTGACACTTTTAGTTGAAAATAAGTGAAGTTTGCGTGAGGTGCGGGGATGGTGTAGGATTGTGGCGAAATTTATTCTTGGCTCGAAAACTGCGAAATTGGCTGGTGTAGCAACCCGCTTGGCTGCGTGTGAACCAGGTTCGGTCGGGCAGCTGAAATAGCGAGGAGTGGTTGGGATAAAAAGCCACGCGAGCCAATAGAAATCGAGGGTGCTTCCGTCACAGTCGCACAACCACCCACCACCCCAGCAGCTCTCGCTCGCACCTTCCTGCAGTAATGTGAAGCACCTTTGCCTTGTTATCGCCATTTCCAGCACTTGGTTCGGTCTGTTAGAGTAGATCTAAGCGCTTCTTGGCTTAGAACTCGCATGGCTTCCTGGATCGCGGAAGCTAAGACTTAGCACCGTAGATAGTGTCAGTTGCTTATTAGCCGTAGTCTGATGGTAGTTGCTTCACGTATTGAAGTACGAATTGACATTTGCGTGCTGCAGATGTTCGTACAATAGCCAGTGGTACGGCTTTTTTTTGGTGGATGCATTGCGGCTCGAGTTGTAACGTTAATTTGCGGTTGGATTATAGCGTCGATTTGCGGGCACATGAAGACCATTTGCACACACATTATTAGTACCGATTTGCAGCTTGCTAATTCCATAAATATGTGAGCACGTACCATGCGGACGGCAATCATAGTTTGGTTCGTAGGCGCGTTACTGGTGTCGGAATTGCCACCTATTTGATGTCCTTGGGCGATCAAGCGAAGGCACGTTTCCTTGGGTCGCTTCTACGCAAGGCAGTAAAGAAAGGGAAAGGAGAAAGGTAAGCGGGGTTCGTGGGGAAGGACATTTCTCATCCCTCTCCGCTCTACCCTCGTCCCTCCCTCCCCCCGTCCCCCCCCCCTTCCCACCCCCGCTCCCCCCTCATCTCTCCGCGCTCCCCCTCATGTTTCACTCTTCCCTCACCGCTCCCCCTCATCCCTCCCCCTCTTCCCTCATCTTCCCCCGCCCTCCGCTCGTGTCCCCCCCGCTCTCCTCCGCTCGTCTCCCACTCACCCCTCATCACCTTCTTCTCGCCAATCATCCTCTTTCCCCCTCCTCCTCACAACTACTCTCATGTCACCTGCATTAATCCGCTCTCTCTCTTCATTTCTCATTCCCCCACTCACACACCAGCTTCACACCTCCCTCGCAGCTTCACATCCCTTCCCCCCCCCCCCCTCCCCGTCATCTCCAGGCCTGGTGGTCACCCCCCTCATTTTCTCATCCCTCATCCCTCATCCCTCCCCCCTCCAGCAGCTTACCTCTCATCACACTTACCCTCTACTGTTCCAACTCAGCCTCACATCCCCCTCTACTGTTCCAACTCAGCCTCACATCCCCCTCTACTGTTCCAACTCAGCCTCACATCCCCCTGACTTTCTCCCTTAGCTGCTGCCTGTATGTTCCCTCAACCTCCCTCTACCTTCAGGCTCCTCCTGGCCTACCCAGGCTCCTCCTGGCCTACCCAGACTCCTCATGAAACTCCGCAAAGCCTACCCATCTGACTCTGACCTGCCTTGGTAAATTGCCTCTGTGAATGCCCTTTGTGACTTGCCTTTGCAGCACAGGAGGCCTTTGCCTTGTTGCTGGTATTCATTGCTTTGGTAGCCAAGCCAATACGTAGATTCCTGCCATTGGATCTCTTTCTGTATGGCTTTCTCTAATGGTACTCTACCGATTTTCATACAATGGTCGCTTGGCTAAACCGAGGAAGCCAGTGAAGTACAGTGGTACGGTAACACTGGAGTACAGGAATGAGACGGAGTTATTTGTGGAGGATAACAAATACAAGCATCCCATACCAGTAGTAATGGTAAGAGCTTGATGATATGGTAAATATAGCATAAATATGAAAGAGGTACAACATGAGAGCATGAAGCAAGGCATGAGCAGTAACCGAGGCAGCGAAGCGCAGCAACGCAGCTCGCCAACTACAGTACAAGTTAATAGTGAGTTAACGGTGAGAAAGTCATCCCTGTGCAAAGAGAGGGTGTGCAGAGCAGAATGCACGCAAGGTTCACATAAGGCGATACAGGAATGTGGTACCATCAGCAACCAGCTCTCGGACCCATTAGCAGTTACCAAGGTGCCCCAGAAATAGACTGGACAGAGCTAGTTCTGACTCTTGCTGCGGGGAAACCTGGTGGGTGAAGAGACGGCAGTGCTGGTTTCCTCAAGAGCCAGCAGTAGGGAGAAGCTGAGGGGAGGGAGAGAAACACTTGAGAGCAGCTCCCTCTCCTCCTCTACGATCTCCCCCTCCTCTCCTTCCTCTCCTTCCGAGTTGCTTCCATACCCGTGCAAAATCTCGTTATAATCACCCGCTGCTGCGCGCCCATGCTTGTTCTTATAACGGTTAGAACCCGCTGTTGCCAAGTCACGAGGTGCGGTTGCCAGGTCAGCAGCAGCAGCGGCAGCAGCGGCTGCCACGTCAGCAAACATCAGAACGTCCACCTCATCGTTGAAGCGCACGCGGGACGGAGTTCGCCGCCCGTCAGAAGTTGGAGTGGCGGGGTAACTTGGAGTGTGAGGGTTGTCACTTTTGAGGCGCCTCAAAAGTTGCCGCCCGTCCGAGGTTGGAGTGGCGGGGTAACTTGGAGTGTGAGTGTTGTCACGGCAGTTAGAGGTTGGAGTGGCGGGGTAATTTGGGGTGTGAGTGCTGTCACGGCTGTTGGCTGACAGACTGAGGGACTTGCGGAGGTTGCGGCGGCGGTTAGTGGGACCGGGAGCGCGGAGGCGAGACGAGATTTGAGTCGAATCAACAGCGGGATGCAGGTCATACGCGGGGGATTGGGTATCAGTTGCGGGGGGAAGGCCGCCGCGGTTGTCAAATGTCATACTCAGTGACTTGCGGTGCCTTCTGCCTGCGACGGGAGCGGCATGGCGACTGTCACGAGATTGGCTTGGCTTTGAGTCATAAGGCTGGCTATCATAAGGATGGCTGTCAAGTGTCATACTCAGGGACTTGCGGTGTGTGCGACGGGGCGTGGGCCAGCTGTGCGACAAGCTTCGCACCGACTTTACAGGCTGATTCAAGTCCGGCGTGGGAGAGGGAGGGTCGTTTGCGGTGGGAGCGGCGCTGCCACGGCTGTCGAATGTCATGCTCAAGGACTTGCGGTGCCTTCTGCTTGCGACAGGAGTGGCACGAGAGGTGTCACGCGACTGGCTTCGCTCTGAGTCGAAAGGTTTGCTGTTGTCAGGAGTGGAAGTGTGAGGGTCGAGCGGGTGGATCGGGGCGGGACGGCCGCTGCTGTCGAATGTCATGCTCAGGGACTTGCGGTGATTTCTGCTACGATCCCGGCCACTGCTGTGAGATGAGCCTCGAGTCGACTTGAAAGAGGGATGGAGGTCAGGCGTGGGAGGGAGACGATTGTAAGGGGGATTGCTTGCAGAGGAAGCGGAGCCATGGCTGTCAAATGACATACTGAGGGACTTGCGGTGGGTGCGACGGGCGGTGGTGGTGATGGTGGTGGTGGTGCTGGTGCTGGTGGCACTGCTGCTTCTTCTGGTGCTGGTGGTGATGCCAGTTCTGCTGTTGCTGCTGCTGCTCCTGCTTCCAACACGCTGTCCTGTCCCCTTGCTGCTACCCGCCCTGTTCACACCGCGGCCGCCTTGCTGCTGCTGCTGCTGCTGCTGCTGGTTCTGCCAGTGTTGCGGTGGTTTGCTCTCCTCGGATCGACTACGACCAATCCGCATTCCTCTTTGAATTCCACTACCTTCCAGCCCCTCTCCTCCCCTCTCGCTGCGAACAACACTGTTCTGCTGCTGCTGTCGCTGTCGCTGCTGCTGTCGCTGCTGCTGCTGTTGCTGCTGCTGCAACTGCTGCTGCTGCGGCTGCTGCCAGTAATGAGGCCGATTGCTCTCCTCAGACTGACTGCGACAAATCCGTACCCCGCTTCCACTTCCACTCTCTTCCATCCATCTCCCCAATCCCTCTCCTCCCCATTTGCTGCTCACCACCTTTCGAGGCCTTGAAAAACGCTCCTCCTCTTCCTCCCTCCACTCCTCCTCTTCCTTCCTCCACTCCTCTCCCTCCCTCCACTCCTCTCCCTCCCTCCCCTCCTCCCTCCACTCCTCCTCCTCTTCCTCCTCATCCCTGAGTGGCTCATACGAGTCATCAAAATGCATACCCACACCTACCTTCGGGTAGTTATTGACAGGGTTAATTGCATACGTACCCATATCCGGTAAGTAAGCGCTCGGGTAGATTTCAAAAGCACCCAAACTAATTGGGTACTCTTCTGGGTTAGTCTCAGGGTAGAATCCAAGTTGTTTATCTTCTGCTTCCTCTCCTGCCCCCACCTCTTCCTCCTCCGCTTCCCTCTCTCCTAGTTGTGACACAAGCGGATGTGCTCTTAATGGAGTTGCAGAGGAAAGGGAAATGGGAAGGGGAAGGGAAAGGGGAGCGGAAACAGGAAGCGGACGGCAGTCAGAGGGTCGAACGCTTTTCTGATGCGACTTCTGAGGCGCCTCAAAAGGAGCAGAAGCGGGGAGCGGACGGAAGTCAGAGGGTCGAACGCTTTTCTGATGCGGCAGCAGCAGGCTGCCACTGTTGCTGTTGGTAACCTGGTTACTGCTGCTGCTGCTGTTGAGTGTAATCTGGATACTGGTAATACTGCTGCTACTGCTGCTGTCACTTTGCCAGTAGCGCTCCCCACTTTCAGCAGCAACAGAACGACCAGCAATATCAGTAGCAGCAACAGCAGCAGCAAAGCCGGCTGAGTCAGCAGCAGCAGTATTATAACCACCTCCCCCATCCTTCTTCCCACCTTCCTTCTCCCTTTCCTGTTGTTGCTGCCCCTTCCCTTCGTTATAATCACCATCATCCACCCACTCTCTGCTACTCCTCCAAGGCTGTGTATTGGCTCGCTTAAGTATCCCTGCTTTAGGAGACTTGGAAGCTGAAGACTTATACCGAATCGCTCTGTATGAAGTATGAGACTCAGCTGCACCTAGAGTATCCTTCTGCTGCTGCTGCTGCTGCTGCTGCTGCACGCTGTGAGTAGCGCGGGAATGGGAATGACGAGGCGATACGAGGTGCATATAACGAAGGGGGTCTGTGGAGAGAGCTTGCACGCCTGGGACGGATACAAACGAGGGCGTTGCCCTCGTTACTGTCACATCTCCTGCCACACCAATCGTGCTTCTCGTAGCGGATGTGCTTGTATAGGATGACCTTGGGTCTGTATTATGTCTGACCAGTGCTGGGCTGGCATGGAGGACGAGTGGCGGAGGGGAGGGGCGGCGAAGTTTGGCTGCTGCATTCAATGTGCTTGTAGTGACGGATGTGCTTGTATCGAATGGCGCTGTGTCTGCTGTGTTTCGCACCCCTGCTGAGTTTGCATTGAGGAAGAGCGGGGGAGGGGAGGGGCGACGGATTCTGGCTGCTGAATCCAACGTGCTTGTTGGAGCAGGTGGGGTAGAAGCGGATGTGCTTGTATCGAATGGCCTTGGGTCTGTTTTATGTCTGATCAGCGCTGGGCTTGCATGGAGGAATTGAGGGGGAGGGGAGGGGCGGCGAATTCTGGCTGCTGCTCGTGCAGCGATTGCAGCAGCTGATTCAAAAGATGAAGAGGGAAACTCGGAGGTGGGAGACGGAACCCTAGGCGCATCAACAACTGCTGCTGCTCGTGCGGCGATTGCAGCAGCAGAACCAGAAGAAAAAGAGGGAGACGAGGAGACAAAAGATGAAAAGGAGGGAGATGCGGAGACAGGAGGTGGAACCCTAGGCGCATCAACAACTGCTGCTGCTCGCGCGGCAATCGCAGCAGCAGACTCAAGAGATGAAGAGGCAATCACGGAGACAAAGGAAGAAAAAGAGGGAGACGCAGAGACAGGAGGCGGAAGGACAGGCGCCTCAGAAACTGAGCAGAAACTTGAGGGGTTTTCTCTTTGTGCCACCACTGCAGCAGAAAACCCCTCAGGTACATATCCCTGCCCCTCCCCCTGCTGCTTCCCCTCCCCCTGCCCCATCAGCAGCAGCTGCTTGTGCTGTTTTGCCCGCTCTTGCTGACCCTGACCCTGCTGCCCCCCATGCTGCTGCATTACCTCCTCCTGCTGCCCCTCATGCTGCTGCATTCCCGCGTGCTGCCACTGCCATGCCGGCAGCTCTGCCTGTCCGTACAGCTGCCGGTTCCCAGCTCTCCTTTCATAGATCGAACTGACAGAACGCTGGGGAGAGGGAGCCTTCCGAATCAACTGAAAAGATTCCTCTGCCTGTCCGTACTGCTGCCGGTTCCCATCCCTCCTTTCATAGATCGAACTGACAGAACGATGGGGAGAGGGATCCTTCCAAGTCGACTCAAAAGCTACCTCTGCCTGTCCGTACTGCTGCCAGTTTCTGTCTCTGCTCTCGTGAGTCGAGGTCACAGATCTCCTAGGGGAGGCCTGCTGAATACGCGACTCAGAAGCCACTTCTGACTGCCTGTGCTGCAACTCATAAGCCTCCTCTGTCTGTCCATACAGCTGCCGGTTTCTGTCTCTGCTCTCATGAGGCGAAGTCACAGATCTCCGGGGGGAGGACAGCTTTCTATGCAACTCAGAAGCCTCCTCTGCCTGTCCGTACTGCTGCCTGCTTCTGTCTCTGCTCTCATGAATTGAACTGACCGACCGCTTAGGGGAGGGAAGTCTATGAGTCGACTCATAAGCCACTTCAGCCTGTCCGTACTCCTGCCTGCTTCTGTCTCTGCTCTCATGAATCGAACTGGCCGACCACTTAGGGGAGGGGAAATTCTTAGCTGTCTTATTCACCTCCTCTGCCTGTCTGTGCTGCTGCTGGTTTCTGTCTCTGCTCTCATGAATCGAACTCACGGCCCTTCGAGGGGAGAGAGGTGGTCGAGATTGCACCAACGCCTGCTGCTTTTGCTGCTGCTGCCACAATCCCTGCTGCCATTCCAAATGCTGTTGCTGCCACTGCCCCCGTTGCATATGCCTCTGCTGTTGTTGCTGCTGCTGCTGCTGCTGCTGCTGCTGCTGCTGCTGCTGCTGCTGCTGCTGCTGCTGCTGCTGCTGCTGCTGCTGCCAGTCTGAGTGTTTTCCCCTCTGCCCATCGCCACCGCCGCTCTCACCACTGCTATAAGAAGAAACGCTTCCCTGTGACAAGATGGCGCTTTCATAAGGAGCATCATCCCTCTGTGAAACAGCAGCAGATGACTTTTGAGTCGACCCAAATGCCATCTCGCTCCCCTGCGACAAAAAGCTGCTTTCGAAAGAAACATCCCTCGGAAAAAAAGCCGCAGAAGGACCTGCAACGACAGCTGCAGCACCACCCCCTCCCCCAACCCCAGCAGCAGCAGCGCCACCACCACCCGCACCCCCTCCCCCACCCCCAACCCCACCACCACCAGCCGCAGGGGCAGCAGCAGCAGCAGCAGCAGCAGTACTACCAGAAACGCCCTCCATTTGTTCTCGAGACGGCCGGCGTTCCACTGCAGCTGAGTTCCACCTTCGGTTCACCCGAGCAGCAGCGTTAGCGGCCACTAGCCGCGTGTTGCTGCTGCTGCTGGTCTTGTTGCTCACACCAGTGGTGGTGCTTGTGCCGGTGTTGCCTGTAGTGGTATGGCTTGATGCAGCAACAGCAGGAGCAACAGCAGCAGTTGCAATACTCTCACCTTCCCAAGAGCCAAAATCAGCCCACCGCTGCCCCAACCGTTTTTTCTCCAATGGATGGGCGCCAGCTGGCACTTGCCACCCCTCCCTAACAACCGGCTCGTGAAAAACCGACGCATAAGCCGTTGACTCGTTACGAGCAGACTCGTTAGTAGACGACCCAGCAGTAGCGGCTCCAAAAGCTGTTGTGGCAGCAGCAATGTCAGCTCCTTGCATTGACAATCTTCGACCACCCCACTTACTGCGGGCTGCCTCAAGACTATCTGGGATTAAAAGCCTCTCCTGCTTTTGCTCCTCCTTGTTACCACCTCTACTAGAAGCAGCAGCAGCAGCAGCAGCAGCAGCAGCAGCAGCAGCAACAGCAGCAGCAACAGCAGCAGGAACACTAGTTGTCCGCCAGAGAGCAGAAGGCACAGACTCCTCCCTTGCACTGTCATTCAAGGCCGTGCCAAGCTTTCCCGGAATATCAAGCCTCTCATACTCACCAAGCCGCTCCAGGGCATTCAGGCGAGGAATCTGAGCAGCTGTGAGCCTTCCCTCCCTTGCTCTTGCACCTCCCGCACTCTTGCTGCGATACAGGGCCACCTCTGCATCATCATCATTACAGGTTGCAACCCTGGGCCTCCCACGAGCAGCACCAGCGCCAGCAGCGGCGGCAGCACCTCCCGCATTCTTGCTGCGATACAGGACCCCCTCTGCATCATCATTAAGGGTTGCGACCCCGGTCCTCCCACCAGCACCAGCAGGAGCACCAACGGCACCACCAACACCAGCACCAGCACCAGCACCAGCACCACCAGCACCAGCAGCACCAACGGCACCAGCAGCACCAGCACCAGCAGCAGCAGCGGCGGTGGCAGTAGGAGCGGCAGCAGGGGCACTAGTTGTTCGCCAGATAGAAGATGATCCAGTCTCCCCCGTTTCACTGCCACTGATGACACAGATGTTGATGTTGCTACCACCGGCATCACAACTGCCGTCCCTGCTGCCTGTGCCGCATTCGCTGCTGCGGCTGCAGTGGTGGCTCTGCTGACTCTGCCCATACTCCCACCCATACTGCCCGTCGCTGTGCCCATAGCTCTGCCCGTAATTTTGCCCCGAATTCTGCCCGTAAAAACTACTCTGCCCCTGGTTGGAAGAATAACGTGCCTGTGCAGGGTTGTTAGCTCCAATTACACCCCTGTGCCATGCCATTGCCACACCACCACCACCGCCACCACCACCCACAGCAGGCACAGCAGTCGCAGCAGCAGGTGTGACTCTATCAGAAGTCTTCAAAACAGGGGCGAATTCCCCACTTGATCCTCTTCTTCTGCTAGCCCAATTACCATTACCATTCCCAGTGCCATCGCCATTGTCATGCCCAGTGACACCCAGACTGACTGTGCGACCAACAGCAGCAGGCCGTGCGGTTCGCTGCTTGGGCGATCTCTGAGGCGCCTCAAAAAGCATCTCGGCGCGACCAACACCAGCACCAGCACCAGCACCAGCAGCAGCAGCACCACAAGCGGTTTGTTGCTTGGGTGACTTGAGAGCTGACCCAGAGCCGGTTCGGGGCGTCTTGGGCGTTAAGGGGGGCAGAGGGGACCGCGATCGGAACGACGGGACAGTGATTGTCAAACCAGCACCGCTGCCACTGCCACCACCAGCAGCACCACCACCACTACCAGCAACAGCAGCACCACCATCACCTCCCCCAGCAGCAGCAGCAGCAGCAGCAGCAGCAAGAGGAGGGTCTTCAGCACTTGACGGCGCAAGGAGGGGAAGAGAGGGAAGGCGGGACCGGAAAAACCCGAGCTTTCCAGGGGACTTGGGTTGCAAGGAGGAAGAGGAGGCGGCAGAGGTAGAGAAAGAGGGAGGAGGAGAGGCAATCGGACTCACTCCTGCTGATCTCCCTCCGTACCCCCTTCCAACCCCTGCTTCCCCTCCTCCTTCACCTCCTCCACTTCCCTTCCCAACCCCGCCTCCATGGCTCACTCGTCCTGCTCCTCCCCCGCCCCCCCATATATTGCGTCCCTTCCCTCCTCCTGTGTTATTCTCTGGGCCGGAAAGGCTTCTTCTCCTCCTGAACCCACCCCCTCCTCTCTCTTCCCTTCCTCCCTCGTCCCCCCCTCTCTCTTCCCTCCCTCTCTCTGCTCTCTCTTCCCTCGCCTTCAATTTCTCCTCTCTTTCCTTCTCCCTGCTCTTTCCCCTACTCTTCTTCTTCTCTTTCCCCTTCTCCTTCCCGCGTTCCCTCCTGCCTCTTTCCCCCTTTTCCTTCTCCCTTTCCTTCTGCCACTCAACCACGATGCCCCTAGCATCTCTCTCTGCTGCAGCTACGGTGCTGCTGGTGTCGATCGGACAGCCGTCGGACGATATGGGAAGGATCGTACGGCTGTGGTCGTCTGTGTACTTTCGCCAGCATGCCTATTTCGGGTATGATGGTGGGAGCGGGGGGAGTGGGGAGGTGAGGTGAGGGGGTGGGGCAGGGAAAGGATGAGCGGACGGGAAGGTTGAGAGTATAGCACAACGCAAGAGAACACATAATGGTCGAGGTCTAAACAAAGGAACAAATCAAAACAGCGAACGTGAATATTTTCAGATGTTCATGTACAAAACACATCAGAACACAACTTACCTGCAGTATGTTTGTGGCGAAGACGTCAAACTCGGGGAGCCAGGGGTCGGGTTGCACGTGCGCGTGCAGGAACAGCTGCCACGCCGCGTTCGCCTGCGCCACCACCCCCAGCGCCCTCCCCGCCCCCTGCTCCGCCACCCGCATGCGCGGGAGAAATGACGGCTTGTCCGCTGGGTTAGGAAAGGGGAGGTGAGGAGGGAGGAAGCGGAGGAGGAGGGGGAGCAGGCGGGAGGAGAACTATTTAGCAGAGGGAGCGGGCAGAAAAGGGGAAACTGATAGGGGGAACAGTCGGGGGTGAACTGACAGGGGTATGCTCACCTGCACTAGTGGCGTCGCACACGGCCAGCCACGCGTAGATTTCTTCCAGCCTGCCCGGCATGAACTCGGGCAGCTCATCCAACTCGTTCACCATGTGCGCCACGGGATCCCCTCCACCAATCGCAACCACCACCCACGCCAATCCCTCCTCCCGCACCACCGGAATCGCGCCAATCGGTTTCACAGTATGTACCTGCCCGAGTTTCGCGGGCCGACGGGAAAGATCTAGAACTTCTAATGCTGTTCCGCATCCCGAAACGCCACCAAATTCGTCCACTTCCTCCTCGGGATCCTGCCACGTCTGCGGGAGCGAGCCGATGTGCCACGGCGCGTCGCGAGCAAAGTGCGACGGTTCGCCGTTTCGCGAGTTCGGTGTAACGCGTAACGGCGTGTATTCTTCCGGTGCGAAATCGTGTTTCGCCCACGTCCCTCGCGGCGTCGTGCAAACGAAATTCAGCCACGTGTTTTTCCCGTATAAAGGAATATTATGCCACGGTGACACTATATGCCCGCCATTATCCAGAAACATCATCCTAAAACCTAGTGACCCCGGGGAACCGAACTGAACCGCGTGACCTTCTCCACCCGTCTCGCCCCACGATGCTTCCGGAACTTGTGGCTGCTGACACGTTTCGTCATACTCCCGATCCAGAAAGCTACTCGAAGCAGGGTCATCATTGTAACAATCACCTACGGACCTGCTCGTCGGAAAAATCAGGTCTTCCTCCTTCAGCACGATCGGATCCGCGCCACGTTGCTCTAAGAGCGGTGCGATCGCCGCATCTGACGGCGGTAATCGCGCAGGCGCCAACACGGGGAGTGAGTTGAGTCGAACCGGCGGCGGACGGTTTTTTACGTTCTGCCTTCCATTCGCTGGCTGCCCAAACTGTGTCCACGTGGCCTTCTCCCTCTGCGGCGCGACTCGGCTACTACTGGAAGTGAACGACCGCTGCCACATGGTGTCTATCGCGCGGTGCGCAGCGCGTACGCGCAGCGCCCGCGTGAGTCTTTTTTATCTCCTCGACGATCAGAAATGGACGGCTGCCGCATGTTACCCCCACCGCGTTCGCCGTGTTTCGCGCATGGCGTCCGCAGATGCGGCGCCTGACTCAGGTGACATATCTCGTGTGCTCAACGCCAGCTACATCGGGGAGAATCCCGCGACGGTAAAAACGGTAGGCCGTAGCGTGCGCCGCCTACCGTCAACCCTGCGAGTAATACGAGCTACGAAGAGACCCGAGTCACGAAAATCTCCGGCGGAAGCTTTGCGGAAGTTGCGGGCCGTTAATAAGTCCGACTCACGTCACAAGAGACCGTGAGTCACGGTGACACCAATACGGAAAGGCTTCGCGAACTTCACGGGGCCGTGCAGGAGTCAAGGTGTCGGCGACGCGTCATACGTCACACGTTGATCGGCCGTGATACCGAATGGGAACAACACGCGCTCCCACAAAAGACTTACCGATGAGATTTTTGAGAAATCAGAGAACTAGTTCCGTCGATGAGAGGCAGAACCCTGATTGTGGAATGTTGAGACTGAGATATATTTGAAGAAAACTCTCGCAATGCTCTGTCTGAGGATGTTCACGATTCTGACGATTCGACAAAACTTTGCACTATTTTATTAGCCTGTCATTGCAAACCCTCCATTACGACCGTCGGTTTAGCAACTTTTCGAAAAAGGGGGGACCCTCTAGCACAAACACATCACCTGGCTGGAGTAGGAAAGAAGGTGAGCGGAGAGGCGCGTGAAATTTGAGGCAGGCACTCTTCACAAGTGAAACCGCTCGTTTGGGAGCGATAAATCACAAAACCGCGATAAATCTTGTTTGGGCCCTTATCAGACCTACACGTAGCTCATTCAACCACAAGTTCGAAATGTTGGGCTCATCAAGGGGCAGATGAGATGTCGTGTCTTGTGACATGTGAGGGTGCAAGTTGGGCATTCGCCTCGTTTTGTTGTTACGTGTACAGTACCGTATGTTGACCTGACAGGGCGTTGGCTACGACGAATCGCACAGTTGAAGTCAAATTTCCCCACTGAGCTGCAAATCTTTCGCCTGTCGTATACAGCATCCCCATTCTGCACTCCACTGAACTGTCCTGTATTTCGAAATTCTTAAAGCTGCGATCTACATACCTCAAGCGGGAGGCAAAGGTTTATTACTTGAAAACAGGGTGACACTGTCCCCAAAAGTACCCCTCTGCGGAGAAACGAAAGTCGAGGCGGATGGAGGGAGGGGGGTGGGGGTGAACAGCCCAACAGCCGAAACAAAGTTCGCCAGATTAGAACTTGACCCGCACAATGTGACAATGTGTGGGAAGAACGAGTCCAGACACCTCCCACCATTTTTTTTTTTCGTAGCTAACGCTCGTTGTTGGGTCTGGTCTCGCGACGCGCAACAAGCGTCACGTGCAATGTTCAAAGTCGCCAGAACCGACAACATGACGAAATGTTCATCGCACTACAGTACCACAGACACCACAGTCGAACCCGCGGTATGCGTTGAGAATGTGATATCTTTTTTTTTTAGGTAATTGAAATGTACACCGAGCAGAACAAGCATACATAATCAATAACAGTCGTAACTGTAGAATGTGATATCTTGATACATACCGTTCGTCAAACACTTACAAAAGTTTATGCTTACATTCTTTTCTACACTTACAAAAGTTTATGGCTCTTTCAAACATATCACATACCACAATATAGTGAGGCATATTCGTTAGCTTGGGACTGTACAGTTATTGAGGCCCTTGTTAGAGACTATTTGCTTGTTGTCAGCACACGAAGCTCCTAGAATATACCTTTACTGGAAAATCAGAGCGCGTTTCTAGGCGCACACTAGGAGGTCTCTCTGGCACAAGGCGTTGTATAGCGAGGCGAGGTCGGCAGCAGTGATAACGGGCTTCAATTCAACCCACGGAAAGTTTTGTTTCAGGCGATCCGGGCGCTTGCCACCATGTCGGTCATGAATCCGTTATATTCAGACGCGTTGCTTTGTATTAAAAAGTAGGACTCTCAAGGCGCAGCATTATAATCAGAACGCTCTTCATTCGTACGAACGGTTCGCTCGGTGTCCACGTCTCCGCAAATTCGCCCCAGCGCCATTCGCCCCTGCTGAGTCTTGAGACGTCTCAATACTCGGTTCGCTCGTTGCCCGCATTCCCATACATTCGCCCCAGCGCCATTCGCGCCTGCTGCTGCTGGGATGGAGTGCGTGGTTCAGGGAATCATTGAGAGTAAGGTGCGTGGCTCAAGGAATGATTTGAGAATAGCAAGGCACATCGAAGGTCTTTTAGGCGGCTCAAGGATGGAGTGCGTGGTTCAGGGAATCATTGAGAGTAAGGTGCGTGGCTCGCTGAATGATTGAGATGCATGTAGTTGACAATCATTCCTTGAGACTCCCTGTCTCCCGCTTCCTAATCAACCCTCTCGCTCTCGCTCCCCCCACACCTGCTCTCTCCCCCTCCCATCCACCCTCTCCTCTTTCTCGCCCTCCTTTTCCTTCCCATCCCCCCACCAGCATGTGCGTGCACTGGTGGAGCTTATAGAGGGGATGACAGGCGCCAGTGAAGAGAAGCTGGATCTACACCAGTTAGTGTACAGAAACGCACCCAATATAGGTACTGTGTGAAAAAACGAGTGTTCATGCTCCATGCATCATGTGCGTGCACTGGTGGAGCTCATAGAGGGGATGACAGGGGCCAGGAAGTAAAGTCAGGTCTACACCACTTAGTGTACAGAAACGCACCCAATATAGGTATCGCGGGAGAAGAAGTGTTCATATTACATGCATCGTTTGCGTGCACTGATGGATATTATAGAGGTACACCCTGGGGCCAGGGAGGTAAAGTTGGATGTACACCAACTAGTGTACAGAAACGCACTTAATAAAGGTACCGTGTGAGAATGTTTATGTTCTATGCTCTATGCTCTATGCTCTATGCTCTGTGTTTCATGCTTCACGGAGCATGCATCAATCGTCATGCCCCATGCCCCATGTCCCATGCCCAATGCCCCATGCCCCATGCCCCATGCCCCATGCCCCATGCATGATGTATGATGCATGATATTAGGTCTAGGGGTCGTCCCTACTAGTGTGCAGCGACTACAGTGAAAGGGCTTCTATTCCCTCATAGTGTATCTGTTTTCCACTCCCTTGTACCGCGTTGCACCGTGTTGTACCGCGTGTATCCCACCAGGAGCCATACCCTGTGAGGTTCGACTGGAGTGCCCTCTCAACTGCACCCCACCCATATGGTATGCCATACATGTCATGCACGTGGATGGCATGGGATGCATGGTATCGTCATGGATGGGACTCCTTATTCTGTTCAGGAGCATTGTATGATGCCATGCCATCCATGTTCATACCAAACCCGAAACTCGTTGTTGCTTCTCCCCTTTCCCCCATCCCAGGACCATGGTGCATGTGAGTGAGAGGGGCGATGAGGGGGGGGGGTGCAGCATAGTGCATGGGAGAGCATCCCTTTCTCTTCCCCCTTTCTCTTCCCCCTTTCTCTTCCCCCTTCCTCCCCCAATTTGCCTGTCCCCTACTTCCCCTCATCCCCCCTCTGACATTCAGGACCATGGTGCATGTCGGGGGGGCAATGAGGGGAGCGGGGGCGGACCAGTTGACTTGCCTCGTGCGCAGCATAGTGCGTGTGAGGGCATCTCCATCAGTGATACACCTCGTACCCGCTATAGGCCTCCGGCTCGACCACGAGGTATGGTTTTGGATTGCCTTAACGAGTGCTGCTGCTGCTGCTCCTAGTTATTCACCTCCAACTTCGTCCTTTGAGGGTGCTGGTTCTGCCTTTGACTTTCCCCGTCGCTCCCACGTCATGACGTTTCAGGCCTTTGCTCCGCTGCACCTGCCACCCCGAAACCCCCTCCTTCCCCATTCAATTTCCCACAGCTGATCCGTCGTGGATCCGCCTTGATTTCGCCCATCGCTTCCACGCCATGAGGCTCGAGGCCTTTGCGCCGCTGCACCTCTCACCCCCCACCCCATTCGCTTTCCTTCCCCTTCTAATCCCACACAGCTCATTCGTCGTGAATCCGCTTTTGACTTCGCCCATCGCTCCCAC